TGTTAAAAGTAGCATGTGGCTAAATCAGGTAAAAACTGATGGTGGGGGCTCTATCAGATGTTAATAGTGATCGGTGGCTAAATCAGATGTTAAAAGTGATGGGGGCTAAATCAGTTGTTAAAAGTGATGAGTGGCTAAATCAGACGTTAAAGTGATGAGGGCCAAATCAGATGTTAAAAACGGGGATGGGGGGGTAGATCAGATGTTAAAATTGATGGTGGGAGTTCTATCAGATGTTAATAGTGATCGGTGGCTAAATCAGATGTTAAAAGTGATGGGGGCTAAATCAGTTGTTAAAAGTGATGGGGCCTAAATCAGACGTTAAAGTGATGAGGGCAAAATCAGATGTTAAAAACGGGATGGGGGGGGGTAAATCAGATGTTAAAAGTAATGGGGGCTAAATCAGATGTTAAAATTGATGGTGGGGGTTCTATCAGATGTTAATAGTCATGGGTGGCTAAATCAGATTTTAAGATTGATGGGGGCTTAATCCGATGTTAAAAGTGATGGGGGCTTTGTTTGTATCGAATAAAGACAAATGCACCTGAGCAAGCGTTTGCAATAGTTATTGTCTAGCCGCCCTAGTAGACAGGCATCCTCGAAAACGTGTGGCCAGCTATACATACATTATCCTTATGTAAAATTTCTGTTGTTTTGATTTTAAATGCGCATTTTATCTATCTTATTTTAGTTTAGTTTTTTGTTTTTCTCCTGTACTTATTCTCTGGAAATAAATCTGTAAATTTTTCCATATATGATGAAAAAATACCCCAAACTTAAAAAAAAAAAAAAAGTTTAATCGGCAAAATCTTTATATTATTATTAAAAGGATCGACCAGAAGATTTTTATTATTATTAAATTATATTTTTCATCCTGTTCAGAAGGTTCGCAGTTTTGGTTAAAACATTTGGTTTTCTTACATCAGTGGTATGACCATGAATTTGTATAGGAAATTTTAAGGCGAAAACCATATTGATTTCGAAATTCTTGCAAAAATCAAATAATTGTCAGATTTTAATGAAACTTTCGCAACGTATTCACAAATAAATGAAATTATTTTAGAAATGTCTTTTTCTTTTTAAAACGTCTTGGTAAAACCATTATTTTTACCCCCCCCACACACACATTTATTGAATTTTATGAAATTTCGAGAAATTAATTATTGTACAGCTTAATGATGATATTAGTCATATGACGAGGCTGGCATCCCGCTCTCACCCCCTCACTGTCGAAACTCCTAAATGTAGCCGTCTCTTTCTACTTCATGTCTCGCACCTCTCGCCTGTGGAACTCCCTTCCCTTCTCCTGTTTCCCTGTGAGCTATAATCGCCAGCTATTCAAGTGTAATGTCAATCGACATCTCCAGTTGCCTTGATCTATCCACTACCCTCATCCTATCTTCTATCACTCCTATCTGATCTTGCTATTTCCTGTAACCCCTTGCGTCCTAGTGGCTTCCCGCCTTGCTTGGGGTGAAACGCTTAAAAAATGTAAAACTCCTCGAAAAATTTAAATCATCAATTGTTTTTGTAAAAGAAGGCTCTCAGTTACCGAAAATATGCTATGAATTGTAAAATATAAAAGGCAATATAATTAATACATTATTTAATTGCAAAAGCTTTAATTTCCTTAAATGGGCATTATTATCTTACGAAAACATTTTTTTTTTATAAATATTGAATTTTTACAGGCACTGTTTTCATTTTTTCTTTTTTAGATTTTAATTTGAATTATATATAAAGTTTGAAATCTCATTTTACTTATCATGATGCTATCATAATTTGCACGGGTTAGGTGATATTGTTATTAAGTAAAAACTATATTTACTAATCATAAATGGAAAAGCTTACTTCAATTCACATATCTCTAATATTTTAAAAAAATAATTTTGAATTTTGTGTGTGTGTGTGGATAACCGTGCCGACTTTTGTAAATACGGACGTCCATACATGACATTATCAGAAAATAAGAGCGGTAACTATACTGCATTTAATGCCAAAGTACCTAAAATTCAATAAAACTTTAGATTATGGAGAATATTTTCCTAAATTTCTAAAATTTCTGGATAGGTAATAATTATAGAAAAAAAAAGCGCTCACGTAATTACTCAAGTAATTTTTACAGATTTGTCCACCGTAGAAAAACTATTCGATAAACTATTCGATATATGTTCCCAACAGTAAAAGCATTATTTTATTTGAAAAATTTGTGATGGTTAATTAACGCTGAAAAAAAAAAAAACAAAGTGAAAAGAATAAAAGAAAGAATAATGTAAAAGTAAAACAATGAGTTACTAAATACGTTATTTTTTATTATTAAAGAAATCGAGAAATTTCTAATAAT